TTAAATCTACGTAGATGATTTTTTGATTTACATGGCTCTTTTGAATGAATCATCGTAGACATTTTTGTCCCCTTATTGATGGTGTGTATCTCAAATGTTATCTAACAATAAAATCTTAGAAAGTAATTGATACGTTGCCCTTCCCCTTCCCTTTTCCCTTTTCAAGTTTTCATTTGACGTCATGAAACATAATAATTCAAAGGTCCGATGATCAGTGTTCAGTTCAACAGACCCTATATCGAAATTGGTCGAAGTAAATAAAACTACGAGAGGAAAGCATAGATCGTCGTTTACGTTTGAACGTTTCACTACTATCACTTGTGTTGCGACCTTTTCATCATCAATTTTATTTCAATAAATAAATAAATAAATAAATAAATAAATAAATAAATAAATAATCGGTTCTAACCTGTCTTCTACGTGTATCATATATTTATATATTTGAAAAAAAAAAAAAGAAAATTGTGTTTTGAACAAAAAGCAAACCATTTCGTTCGTATATAAAATTTTGTTAAGAAAAAAAAATATATATATATGTATATATGTTATATTGTTTGTTATAAATTAATACGTGCGTTTGATTGACAACAGTGGTTGAATAAGAAAAAAGAAGAAGAAGAAAAAAAAAAAGAACAAGTTACTTCGTTGGTGTAAATTTTGTTTTGACACAAATTTATGTGAAGTTTGTTTCATTAATTTAATTTTTTTTTTTTTTTTTTGCGTTTAATTGACACAATAGTATTTCTCACGATTTTTTCTTGTGTGTGTTTTTGTGTTATCGTGTATATATTAACAATATACGATAAAAGATTGTTGATTGATAACCTGAAACCTGATAAACGGAACGATCAATTACATATGATGGAATTATTACTACACAGTATGATTTTGAATTAGAATCAAATGAAAATTGAACAATGGGTTCCTCCAAATCGTATACACTTCTTCAACTAGGATGGAAAACGAACAAGAAAGATAAGAAAGAAGCTTGCTGGTTCAAGCATTTGTCCTCGTTAGGTTCGATTTTTCAATCGAAACGGAAAGTTCAGGAACAGAAGGTAATTCGTTCATCCATTCAGTGCTAATATTTTTTATGATACGTAATTTTTTTTTTTTTTTTTTAATATATATATATGAGTCATATTTATAGGCCAAAGTCAATTAAAGTGTTTAATTTTGTATGAAATTTTTCTATCAAACAAAAACTTGATTGATTGGCGCTTAACTTTTTTGGTTTTCTTTCTGAATATAATTTAATTAATTATTATAAATATATTATTAATATATTATATAATTTATAATTAATATATTTATATATTATATATAATATTAATATTATTTAATTTAAATTATATTAAATTATATAACTATGTATAACAATTAATAATTATATAATTAATATAATATTATTTTACGTTAATATTAACAAACACATATATACGTCAATAGACTACCCTGATAATTTTTACCAAACGCATATATGCGTCAATAACACTCTAAAGGTTAAAATACATTATTTAAATGATTCAACTTGATATCAATAAATGACAACAATTGAACTGTCGTTATATAATAAATAAAAATAAAACAAAATAATATTTATTTTATATTATATTACAATTATCATTATTATTATCATCATCATCATCATCATCATCATCATTTTCGTTTGTTACAATGATGAATTTATGTTCGAACGTGTGAATGTAATTTGAATGTTTCGTAATAATTGTCTACGTCATATTAAAAATAATCGTATGAAGATCCATTGTAATAAATTTTTCCTTTAGCCAATGAGAAAAATTGTGCCTTTAGATGCATATGTATTGTATTATATACGTCACACTAAGAGGAAGTTAACACATCGAACCAATAACCAACCGGTCGATCTACTTTGCGTTTAATGTTTGATGAATGACGTGAGTCATGTCGTTAGGATTAATCCAAAGATTATACAGGAAATTTCTGGTAAAATGTCTACATATACTACACACTGAGTTAAGCATTTTAACACAAGCCATCTAAATAACTCAGGTTGCAATTAGTAATAGAAAGAAAAAAAAAAACTAACTGTGTCGGATGAAACTTACTTAGTTTCGAGATTGACATAATCTCTCATGTTATGTACGTGTATAATAAAATGTTCACTGCGTTATTCGTTATATTTTTTTCTTTTTTTATGTAAAGACAAATTTTTTTTTTATAAAACCTTGAATTTAGTTTACATTTTACATAGAGTAATAAACAATTTTAAAACATCCTATTGGTAATACGTAAAAATAATATATGTTATTTCATTTAAAACAAAACAAAAAATGGAGTTGATTTGTGCACGTATTTTCTATGCTTTCAGTTACAAACAAATCTATTAAAAATCTATTAAAATTAACTTAATAGTAAAAAACACTGTGTCGGATGAAACTTACTTAGTTTCGAGGTTGACATAATCTCTCATGTTATGATGTACGTGTATAATAAAATGTTCACTGCGTTATTCGTTATATTTTTTTCTTTTTTTATGTAAAGACATATTTTTTTTTTATAAAACCTTGAATTTAGTTTACATTTTACATAGAGTAATAAACAATTTTAAAATATCCTATTGGTAATACGTAAAAATAATATATGTTATTTCATTTAAAACAAAACAAAAATGGAATTGATTTGTGCACTAACGCATTCTATGCGTTCAGTTACAAACAAATCTATTAAAAATCTATTAAAATTAACTTAATAATAAAAATCTATTGAAAAATTATTAATCTATGAAAATTTATCAAAAGAATTTTGTTTGTCATCGATAAGAAACTTTTTGTTAATCGTTTTCTACGTTTTTCGAATTTCCGTTTGCCTTCCATAGTTATTTCATTTTGTTGTTTATCTCTGTTGATTACTAAACTGCGATAAGTAATCAGTGCTGTAGTTTATTGAAATACGATAAAATAATCAGCACTAAGGTTTTTGTTCAACTGGGTTGGCAGCTTATCATCATTTCGTTGGTGACACATTACATTTGCAAATATGCGAATGCGATATGTGTTATAATACACACATATGCGTATCTCTTTGTTAATTCGTAAGAAGAATTCATTATTAAAAGTAAGAATAAATAAATTTTAACGTGATATCATTTATTCAAAATTCTAAGTAATTAAATTCTTCCATTTGTAGTAATTAAACTGTTGATCAATAGTTGTAAGAATAAATTTACAGGTTAAATTCATACGCGCATTTTTTTTTTTTTTTATTTCTTCGTAAAAATTCTGAACAAATTGAATATTAAATTAAGATTATTTATTAAAGTTCTAAACAAGTATTTACAACTTATATATAACCTAAACTAATAAACAAAAAAAAAGAAATGAAAAAAATCTTATAATTAGGATTAAAGATCTGTCGAAGAAATTTACAAAATATGCAAATATTTTCGCGCGTAAGAATAAAATAGGTCGACCGTTATCGATGATATCTTTAAATGGGTCGGAAGGGCACATTTTTCTCAATTGAGTCTCCTTCGAAAAGATTCAGAACCGTTCACCGGTCTCTGCGTAAAAGGGAATTCTCCTCTTGGCTTGTGCTTCGCTTTCAAGCAATACATTCTTTCCACGGCCGTTGCTATATACATACATATGCTATATACATATATATATATATATTTAATGCATATATACACGCATGCACGTCTAAACGTACACGTATGTTCAGAAATCACAAAACAGTCTCGTCGAGTTGGGTGAGTTCGTAGCGCGTTCGCTACGAGGCGCCAGTGCGCATGTCCGCTAAGAAATGAGTAGTATCAGTGTACATTAAAAAAGGAACGTCAGTTGCGCGCCGACCACGCATCGGTGTGCATGTCTGGTTCTTATCGTAAATTAATTATTAATTTTTGTTGTTCTCTCTAATATAATTGCTTTTTTTTTTTTTTTAATTTTACCGCGAAGTGTGAAACACGGTATAGTAAAAAAAGAAAATATCGTGTAAATATATTATTCCTTTTATTTATATATATATATAAACAAACAAATTAGTTTGTTTTTCTTAAAATAACTCATCTCTGTGACGTCTCTGTGTGTATGTTTATTATTGTCTCTGCAGTGTGAATATATAAATAATTGAAAATATCATCGAAGTTTGTATAAGTGATTATATATTGAAAATACTATGAGAATGACTAACGTTTTGACGAGCAGTGTTGATTTAGTGCGAATAAGAAATAATTTATCGCGAATGGGGATCGATCGTTTTGTAGCACACAGCAGAAACTCGTGGAGTTAATTTCGACCAATAGAATTTTGCGTTAGATCGATTATTTTGAATTTCACCCATTTTCCTCTGGTATATAACTAAGTTGTTGCCGACTGTTTCCTAGGTATATACCTTCGACTAGTTCGAAGTTATATTCCCATAGGACCATCATACTACACATACTACACATACTACATCCTCTAATCTCCACATACACACACACACATATATACATATACATTTATATAAAACCATATAAAAGCGATCGTAATTCTCCGAAGTAAATCCTTAGCGACGCAGCATTAGTTCTCATTGAGACAGTTCTTTGTTGAATTAGAAGAGATAAGTTAAAGAAAAAGGAAGACAGATATTATATACTGTAACTCGATCGTTCGAAATCTCATTGGAAATTTTTGAAAAGAAGACTACGACCAATCAGAACGAACGTAAAAAAGAAAAAAAAAACAGAGGAAATAACTAAGACAGAAAATGATGATCGTTAATTAAGTTTTGTTTTGACACGAGTAGTTATATACGATCGTTACAAGTCATCGAAAAAATTTGTCAAAATAATTTGACTTTTGGATCAGTGGATCGATCGATCTTTCAATTATCGAAGATTTTAATGAAACAATACGAATTGAAAAGGAAAAGTTTTATGATCTGATATGAATCGTTGGATATTTTCCAAAATAATACGGAATTTTCACGAGGATAAAAAAAACAAAAACAAAAAAAAACAAGAACATGTGAATTGAAGAAAAAATTTGAATATCTCACTTCGGAGATTTTTCAAAATTATTAAATTAATACGAATTTTCATGAAAAAGTTAGATGAATGAGAACGTTAAAAGTCTAACGTGAAGTTAGCTACGATAAAAAAGAAAAATAGAAAAAATTAAATATAAAAAAAATATATATATATATAAATACATAAAAAGTAAAGTTAGTTGAGACGTGAGGAATGATTTTCACCGGAAGGTCGGTTGACGCTCTCGACGAGGTACGCGGTAGTAGCGTCGTCGTCCAGAACGACGAGCGTCGCGACGTTAAAGCCGTCGCTATAGCAGCCGGTTGGTTCTCCAGTTTGCGCAGACCCGGCAAGAGGAACAAGAGGTCCTGCCAAAAGCAGGCAAAGAGTGCTTGGGATCTTACTACCTTATCTACGGTTAGATTCTCTTTTTTAATTTGTTTATATATATATATAAGTTTATATTATCCTTCTCTCATATAATTTTGTTGTTACATACATACATACATGTGTGCATAATTTTTGGCAATGTTCGTTTCATTCACATTCGATTCCAAAATTTGTATTCGTTTGACTAATATGAGGTATACTTGGTATAATATCAAGCATTATTGTGTGTGTGTGTGTGTGTGTATTACTATAGGTTTTTATATTATTATTTGAATATTCTTATATATTTTATATAACTGTAATATAATTTATATTGCTATATATAATATTTTATATATTAGAATTTATAGTTTGGAAAAAAAATTGGGTTATTAAAGATTGATTTAACTTAATTTCATTCAAAAATACTATATTACTATAATAATACATATATATATATATATATATATAGTATAATATATCAATAGTAATATTAATATATTATACTATATATATACTATATAATATAAATATTATAATATAATTAATATATAATAACAATATATTATATTACTATAATAATAGTATTTTATTATAGTATATAATACTTTATTATATTATAATAAAATAAAGAAAGAAAAGACTATACAGTTATGTTAGTATAATGTATTATAATTACAGTATTAGTATATATATATATATATATAAAAACAAAACAGAAAATTAGTTTATAATAAGTGAATTTAAACTTAACCTGAAAACATATTCTGTGATAAGCACATTTATGTATAAACTATTTAATTTTATTTTTATTTTTATTTTTATTCAAATAGAAATATCGCAAAGTAATTACCCATAAAACCGAAAATTACCGACTTAACATTGTAACCGAACTAAATACCCGAATAGAACCGAAGTGAATCCGAAGCCTCTCTCTGATAGCCGATAATTGAAAGCTGGCCAAATGTCGTTTCGTAAATAAATCGACGTGATTAAGACTGTTAGTAGTGTGTCTCGGTATTACACAGACGAGAGAGGTACCACTACACTACGATACAACACGACGAGGACGATTAAATGCGCTATACGGCGCCTTTTATACGGAGACTTTGCCAAGGAGACAAATTTATTTCTAGGCGCGGTCGTCGGCTCAAACAAAAATGATCATCCTACATTTCTAACTATATTTACCTTGATATTTTTCTTCCTTTATTTATTTATTTATTTATTTATTTATTTTTAAATATATTTTTTTTATATTTTTTTTATCGAGTATTCTCCTTCTCTTCAACATTTTATTTATCGTTCATTAAATCTTACTAATAAACATTGTTTTTTTTTTTTTTTT